AATTCTTCCTGAATTTTTTTAATTTTTATTATAGGCCTAACTATAAAAATGTTCATGTATATTTTATAAATTTTTAAAATATTTAAATTATTTCCAAGAAATATTTTGAAGTTTTTTTGAAATAAAATATGAATATATATAAAGGAATTTAAAAATAAAATTTAGAACATATATGATAAAAAAATTATTCCCCCCCTTTAATAAGGAGAATAATTTTTACATTCATATTTGTATAATAAAAATTAAAAAATTCAGGACGAAATATATGTATGTAGTATAAATAAGCACATTTAATTTAATTATTAATATTAAATAATTTTCACACAATTTTTGTGAAAAATCAGGATGAAAACTTTGTATTCCATGATTTTTACAGCCACTTCCTCTTCCACTTTTCGTGGTATCTGAATGAAAGTGGGCATCATTTATGTGGTTAATTTCATTGTAGATCAGTCTTATCTGTAATAGTAAATGTAGTATTAGTAATAGTAACGTCCGGGAAAAAGAGGACACATTATAAACCCAGCATATACTTTTTCCTTTAAAATACCAAAAGCAATATTTATACATGCATAAAACTTTGAATATTTTTTTAATGTTGACTAGTTATAAATTTAATTATTTCAAAGTACAAACGTTTATTTCAGCGTCATGAAATAGTTAATAATTATAATACTATAAAAAAAGAATAGATTTAAAATTTTTATATTTTTTTTTAGCATTTCAGGAAAGTTTTAAACTATTAATTATTCATGACTAGTAAATTTAAAATGTTAAATGATAATTAAAAATAACAATTTATATTTTATATCTTTACTTAATTTTTTTTTAATATATTTGAAATATAGATTATAGTGAATTCCGTATCAGCATCAGAACCTTCTACTTCAGATTTTTATTCTATTTCTCAATCAACATCTCATAATGGCTCATTGAATTATACTTCAAATAGCATTAAAAGGCACTCAGAAGGTGAAATTAATTACCATAAAATTCGAAGACACAGTGATTATAGTCTGATGAATCATAATGCTAAAGGAGTAGTGAATGAAGCATATTGTTCTGAAGATTGAATTATGAGAATTTTCTTCAGTTATGAAAGTCATTAAAGCATCTTCGTGAAAAAAGAATCTCATTACGAATTGTATATACTGTACTTTTCACAAACTAGAAACTGTACAACGATTAATGTGTTATAAATATTTAATAATCATCGTTACTAACACTCCAAGTGTTTTATCAATCTGTTGATACTCATTACGTTTTAAAATTTTATTTAAAAATAAAAATTTTGTTATATTTACTATTTTGTTATACAGTATTTATTTAGTAGTATCTAAGCTCTTCATTATATTAAAGATATAAAATAATTTATTGAATGGGTTAAAACAATGCAAAAAATAATTCAGAGATTAAACATTTTAAAATTAATTATATGTATATATATTTAGTTAATTAGGCACAATTTTGTTCATTTACTTTGAAGCTTAATAACTCATGTGCCTTTTGTTGAAAATTTCTGAAATTTTACAGGAAGGTTTGGGTATTGGGGAGATTGATACTATTAAATTTTGGTGGTTAGATCGATGAGGTTGAGACATAGAGGGGGGTCATGTGTCGTATCTCGAATGAAATCGGAGTTAATGAAGATTTTACTCGTTATTAGCATTTACATTTTTTTAAAATAAAATTCATCTGTACCCTCAAAATTCAGCTTTCTGTCATTTTATCACATAAAAAGTTACGTAACTTTCCCGGCTGTTATGAGATTTTTAAAAGAAACTTTTACATTATTAAGCAAAAATTAAATAAAATTGTGCGTTATCTGTTATGCCGGATGCATGTTCTCGTAAATATCGCGTTTATAGACAAATTATTGGGCTGCAATTTGAAGAAATTCTAGACCTATAAATTCAGAGTGCCCGCTGCTTGTCTGTCCTTCCTTAATCTCGAGAAAGTAGTTAGNATTTTTTTTAAAATATATTTGAAATATAGATTATAGTGAATTCCGTATCAGCATCAGAACCTTCTACTTCAGATTTTTATTCTATTTCTCAATCAACATCTCATAATGGCTCATTGAATTATACTTCAAATAGCATTAAAAGGCACTCAGAAGGTGAAATTAATTACCATAAAATTCGAAGACACAGTGATTATAGTCTGATGAATCATAATGCTAAAGGAGTAGTGAATGAAGCATATTGTTCTGAAGATTGAATTATGAGAATTTTCTTCAGTTATGAAAGTCATTAAAGCATCTTCGTGAAAAAAAAATCTCATTACGAATTGTATATACTGTACTTTTCACAAACTAGAAACTGTACAACGATTAATGTGTTATAAATATTTAATAATCATCGTTACTAACACTCCAAGTGTTTTATCAATCTGTTGATACTCATTACGTTTTAAAATTTTATTTAAAAATAAAAATTTTGTTATATTTACTATTTTGTTATACAGTATTTATTTAGTAGTATCTAAGCTCTTCATTATATTAAAGATATAAAATAATTTATTGAATGGGTTAAAACAATGCAAAAAATAATTCAGAGATTAAACATTTTAAAATTAATTATATGTATATATATTTAGTTAATTAGGCACAATTTTGTTCATTTACTTTGAAGCTTAATAACTCATGTGCCTTTTGTTGAAAATTTCTGAAATTTTACAGGAAGGTTTGGGTATTGGGGAGATTGATACTATTAAATTTTGGTGGTTAGATCGATGAGGTTGAGACATAGAGGGGGGTCATGTGTCGTATCTCGAATGAAATCGGAGTTAATGAAGATTTTACTCGTTATTAGCATTTACATTTTTTTAAAATAAAATTCATCTGTACCCTCAAAATTCAGCTTTCTGTCATTTTATCACATAAAAAGTTACGTAACTTTCCCGGCTGTTATGAGATTTTTAAAAGAAACTTTTACATTATTAAGCAAAAATTAAATAAAATTGTGCGTTATCTGTTATGCCGGATGCATGTTCTCGTAAATATCGCGTTTATAGACAAATTATTGGGCTGCAATTTGAAGAAATTCTAGACCTATAAATTCAGAGTGCCCGCTGCTTGTCTGTCCTTCCTTAATCTCGAGAAAGTAGTTATATAGATGAAAATCGAGAGCAGATATAGAAAGTTTAGGGACTGGAAGCCCAGATTAACTATATAAAATCTTCTAGTTTGGACCGAAAGTGATGTTGATTCAATTCAGAATTTTTCCCTGAGCCCACACAACTCTATTACTAACAGAAAAAGTATGATGTACAGGGACAAGACACCACTAAAAAAATTGAGAACATTGTGACGAAAAGTTGCATCCCGGCATTGTGAAGATGTCACAATAAATAATCATTCGTTAGAATTAGTTTGGTTTATTTGATTACGGCAAACCTCGACAGGTGAGCGATGTGCCGGGGGGATGCATTCTGGGAAGACTTTTATGGGATACTAGACCCTATTTAAGTGTTACTAATGTGAAAAAACTCGGTAAACTCCACGTGGCCTGCCCGTTAGCCATGCTCCAACCCACCACTAACTAGCAGTTCAGTGATTTTATGCGGAGGGCACTTATTAGAATTAAGAAAGTGCCTTTCAGAAATGAAAAAAACCCGAGTCATTAAATGTGGAAAATTAAATATTTATAGACTTTTCACAAGATAATACTTTTGTTCCACGCAATCTATTACTTTATGTTACTTGTCTCAGTAATGATATATCATTGTCTATTTCGCGCTTATCATTGTCGCAATAATTAAGTGAATATAATATATATATATAAAAATTATATTCCTCTTCTCGGATTGTTGTAA